TAAATATTCAGTGCATGCATCATGTACTTGCAAATATATGTAACAGTGCATAGCCTTAAGAAAATAATCCTGAATAAACACTTCTTCAAATGTCATGGAAAACATTTTAAGATATTGCCCAAGTCTGTTAACAGTATTGCATACTCATTTATTTGAATAGGGAAGTGCATGGTTCTAATTAAGATGAATCTCCTATGCAATGTAAATTTCATTTAGTTTTGTTTCTTGTGTATAATTCCTTTCCACAAAATATGTGTTCCTTATTACATGTCCTTTGATGCAAATTAAGTACATGAAAAATATTTTATACTACCAGATTATCTTTGCATAGACTGCCTAATTTTGTAAATGACACAGATAAAGTCAATGAAGCAGTGTTGTAAACCAAAACAAATCTGCAAAGTTAATTATTTTCATGGGGGACTCTCCTGGAGACTATAAATTAGAAGTATGTTGTTTTGATGAACTCTATTTTCTGGTTTAGTTATTTGTATTTCTAATTTGAGGGGGAAAAAAATGTTCTCAGACAAGAAATAAATATTTCAACTGGTTGAATAGGGAATTTCTCTCTGGAAATGTCATTATTCTCTTTTGTCAGGATGATGGACTTTGATGAACAGGATAATTCCTTAATTGCTTCTGACAAGTGCTTCATTTTTTTGGTGATATGAACTTTTATGCATATATATGTGCACACATGTATGTATTTCACATGTGTGATAAATGATATGTGAATAGATGTACATTTCATATACAGTCATGTTTAATATATACATTTCTTTTTGTTGTGTGTGTGTGATGCATGTGGTGTATGCCGGTGTATTTCATAGCCAAAAACTTTTTGATTGACTTCTACTGAAAAGAATCTGTTCTCAGATTTCTATAAAAATCCTACCAATTGAATGATAATAAGATAAAATAAGAAGTTGTATGTTTTGGCACTTTAGCACACAGAGCGGAAAACTATTTTACAGTCTGCTGGAAACTCACACTTCCTCTAAACCTGGGCCAATTTTATAATAATGAGGGCAGGGCCTTGTAGGGGAGATCTGTAGAACACTTTGAAACTCCCTTGGAAGATTCCCAGTGCGAAGGAAAAGTAGTAGCCTAATAGAGGGAATGGAGTCCTGGTGTGGCGCTGTGGCTTAATGCGCCAGACTGCCAAGCCATTTAACTGCACTGTTGGTGGTTCAAGCTCACCAGCCACTCCTCCGAAACCCTATACAGGGTCACTATGGGTCAGAACTGACTTGATGACACTTAACAACAACAATAGAGGGAATAAAGTTATTTTCAACAGATTCTCTTACAGTCTCAACTTTTTTGGCATTGCTTGTCAAATGACAATGTTTGAGAGGCTGAGCTTACACTGGATTCCAAGTGCTCATGCATGGGTCACTGACAGTCATGCCAAGTTTCTGTTTTTCAGCAAAGAAGTTCATCTCCAGGGCAGTTTAGTTCTGTTACCAAAGGCTCCTGTAAGAGATTGTGTGAAAACAAAGCCATCAGCCACTCCTTAGCTGATCAAAGAGACCAAGGTGTCATTTGATCGCACAGTGGATTAAATGGGAGGGAAAAGAATTAAGAATTTTAACTAAATTAGTGATGTCAAAACATTGTAGGATCAGCACTGGACTGTGAACCACAAGGTCAACAGTTCAAACCCACCAGCTGCTCCTTGGAAATAGGGTCACTATGAGTCAGAACCGACTCAATGGCACTTAACAACAACAGCAGTGGTATCGAGAAGCATATGTTGTTGTCCAGTGCCCTTGAGTTGGTTCCACTGCCCAGTCCTGGGCCATCCTCACAGCTGGGTTTGAGCCTGCCGCTGCTGCCACTCACGGTGTCAGTCCACCTCCTTGGAAGTCGTCTTCCTTTTCACTGACCCTTCACTTAGCCAAACACGATGGTCCCTCCTGTCTGAAATTTGTGAGACTTAATAATACATTTATATTCAATTGACGGAAGAGACACTACATTCCCATTGAGTTGATTCTAACTCAGTTACCTTGAGGGACTTGCTTGAACTGATCCCTAGAGTTCCCAAGACAGTAAATATTAATCTAAGTGGGTTTGAACCAACAATCTGTGGTTAGAAGTCCAGGGCTTAACCCATTATTCAACAAGGGTTCCTTGAACTGATTATTACACTATTAAAAATAAGTCAAGGAAACCAGATAAAAATAATTGGTGGCAGTGGTGGTTATGTGCTCCTGAGTCGGATCCGACTTGTAGCGATCCTGTATAGAGTTTCCAAGGTTATTCATCTTTATGGGAGCAGAAAAACTCATCTTTCTCTCTCAGAGCAGATGGTGCATTTGAACTATTGATCTTGTGATTAGGAGCCCATTGCATAGCCCATTACACCAGCAGAGTTCCTTGGTAAACATAATAGGAGTTATTTTCCCTGTTAGCTTTTCAGACATTTCTCAAAAGTATATGCAAAACAGAACAAATTGGGTTGTGTTTTCTACTTAAAACAAGTAAACAGGTTTCCTTGTCTGTGAAACCTTAACTTTACATTCCAACTTGACCCCATGCTGCTGTTGCTAAATGCTGTCCAATTGGGGTTCTAACTCATAGTGACCCTGCATGCGGTTTTTGAGGAGCAGCTCGTGAGTTAGCTATTCTGTGGCACACCGTTCCACGGGTCTGCCCTACATACCCACAGTCAGGTTACCTATGTCCTTAAGCATGAAGCCAATTCATTCCTTAAAATGAGGTTGTATTTTGCTTTAACTGTAATAAGCTATCATTTTAGCAGAACAGTCGTTGTCATTCAAGAAGCTCACCTGTTTTGTGAGCTCTACAAGGTATGGCTTACAAGGGAGAAGGGCAGCACGAAGAAGAATAAAATGAAGGCTACTCTTCAGTGTCGTGGCACTGTGGGCGAATGTGTCAGACTGCAAAGTCGTCTGAGCTGTAAGGTTGGTGATTCAAGCTCACCAGCCGCCGCTCCTTGGAAACCCTATACAGGGTCGCTGTTGATCGGAATCCACTCGGATGGCACTTAACAACAACAACATTAAGTGTCCTCAGATGGCAAATTGGTTAAACATGCATATGCTAACTAAAAGGTTGGCAGTTCAAATGCCCCCCAAATCACTTCACAATAAAGACTGGTAAAAATTGAGCGTTCTGGAAAACAGAGGGCTATCGTTGTTGTAAGTGCCATCAAGTCAGTTCTGACTCATAAGCGACCCTGTATAGTGCTTCCAAGGAGCAGCTGGTGGGTTTGAACTGCTGACCTGTGGTTTGCAGTCCAGTGCTGATCCACAGGCCAGAAGTCCAAGGGGATATTGTGTGGTTTAAAATCAGAAAAGGTGTTTATCCAGGGTTTGTTCTTTCACCGTACTTCTTCAATCTGTGTGATGAGCAAATAATCCATGAAACTGGACTATGTAAAGAGGAATGTGATATCATAATTAGAGGAATCCTGATGAGGCACGGTGGATTAATGCATCAGACTGTAAAGCCGTTTGAACTGCAGGGTTGGCAGTTCAAGCTCACAAGCTGCTCCTCGGAAGCCCTATATAGGGTCACTATGGGTCGGAACCGACTTGACAGCACTTAACAACAACAACAATTAACAACCTGTGGTATGCAGATGAGGTGGAGCCAAGTCTGTGGCACCTAACAACAACAACAACTCTTCTTTTAAATCCTTATACATAGGGTCACTATGAGTCAGAACAAGGAGCTCTGGTAGCGTAGTGGTTATGAATCGGGCTGTGAACCGCAAGGTCAGCAGTTCAAAACTACCAGCTTCTCCGCAGGAGAACGATGAGGCTTTCTGCTCCCGTAAAGATTTACAGCCTCGGGAAACCCTGTTCAGGATTGCTATGAGTCGGAACTGACTCGACGGCACTTAACAACAACAAATGAGTCAGAACCAACTCCATGGCACATCACCACCACCACCATATACCAAATACTCTCTCAACAAACTGGGGATCGTTTTTTTAAGATAACACAGGATAATTTTATTAAAAGAGTAGAAACTATGTTGTAGCAATTAAGATACCATTACAATTAGGATACTGGACATGCTTAGAGGTAATTATAACAGCATATTCTAGAATATAAAAAGACTGAAAATCACATAAAACTGACTTATACCTTCCACCGCTATAACATTGGGAGACTTTGGTATTCACAGTATTTCTCAGCATATTCATATGTATGTGAGGTTAAGTGAAAAGTACTGCTATAAAATCATAGAGCCTTCTATTAAACCAAAAATATCAAAATGTTTCTAAGACGTATGCTTCATCTAGATGTATGTACTTCTGAAGGTACTGTTTCCATCCTCTAATCCTTCCCCAAATAATTCTGTGTTTTTTCATCAAAATGTCAGATTTGGCATCTTCAAGGGACTCAAATTGTGTTCCTTTGAAAAGTTCTTTGAGTATGAGGAACAAAGAACTCGGAAGGGATAAAGTCAGGGCTAGGATGTATGAGGTAAGGTTCCCCTTTTTGTGGGAAGTGAAATTCCTACAGAACAGTGTTTGCTGCTCATTTGAAGAATGAGCCGATGCACAGCCATGGTGGAACAGAACCAGTCTTTGATGCAAGTTTCCCGGCCTTTGTCTCACCAGTGCACTTTCCAATGTCCTTAAAAACTCTCCATAGTATGCCCCACGATCCTCACATGTCATTTAAGAAAATCTATCAAGATGGTCCCTTTAAGACCCCAAAAAACAGTCGCCATAACTTTCTGAGCTGACCTCTCTGCCTTGAATTTAACTGGTCCACCAGCTTCCCTCAGAAGCCATTGTTTTGAATGGATCTTTTTAAAGAAAGCACCCTACCAAGATTAAGACAAGGGTTATTACTAAAAGCATAGTAATCAGCACAGTACTGATCTCACAGACATGTTCCAGCACATTTGTTTGAAATAACTGCAGGTGTGAATTGGAACCCTCGTAGCTATACTTTGACTTAACTCTTGTATAGGACAATGTTAGTGGCACTAACTATGACACCTCTTTTTTCAGATATCAGAACTACTGATCCACAAGCTCAACCAAAACTCGGTGCACTTCGAGCTGAAGCCTGGGGTCCAAGTTCTTGTCCATGCAGCTCACTTAACAGCAGGTCAGTTTCCTTGTGCATGGGTTATAGTTCTGGCTCATGTATCTGGCAAAGGGCTATCCAAATTTGTTTTTCCTTACTCATAAGCAAGGCTAGTTAGCACCACTACTAATTGGAAACCTGACATTTGTCTTTGGAGGTCCCCTTGCTTGACATTTTTTCCTTAAATGAGGACTCACTTAGGAAACAGAATGAAGGACCCTTTCCTATCTGTTGTTGTTGTGTGATATCGAGTTGGTTTTGACTCATAGGGGTTTCCAAGGCTGTAAATCTTTGCAGAAGCAGAAATCCTCATCTTTCTCCCATAGAATGGCTGGTGAGCTTGAACCTTGTGATTCATAGCCCAGTACTTATCCTGCAGAGACGTTAGTTGAAAACTATCAATGATTCACCTACATACACGTTGTCCAAATGACCAAGTGGTAGCATGCTTCACCTCACAGAAATCAAGTTGGCCTTGTAAATATTTTTTCAGGTCATTCTATAATGCCCTGTCTTCAAATCATTCATGTTACTAAGCATTTGTTTTAAGATTCAAGTTCAAGGAGTACAGTAGCAGAGACTTCAGGAGTTATGCAGGATCATACCCAGGAATTGAATTTCATGTTGCTCATAGTCATGCAAAATGTCTTAATCTGCTTGAGTCTTTGTCTTTTTGCCTGTAACAGATGAGTGAAAAAATCTTCCTTTTAAGGCCAGGGTGAAATTCACAATAAGTAGATAGTACTGTGTCATTTTAATAATTTAGAAGTCAATCTTTATCAAGTGTTTATTTGGATGCATCTGAAGCCGGGTGCTGCGTTAAGCCTGGAAAGAGTATCTAATCTGGCTGTGGTGTGGGAAAGTTTAGCAGTAGCACAGTTGTGATCGTGGTGTGGACAGTAGGGAGAGAGTGTGCCTCAGTCATTAAGCACAATGCGTAAGTGCTTGTACTGAGAAACAGCATAGGATATAAGCCCTTGGATTTTGCAGCCAGACCATTGAATTCGATGTCGGCGCCATCACTTGCTTATTCAGTAAACCTGGGAAATAGACTTGATTTTTGTGTGCTTCAGTTTCATCTGTAAACTAGAGATGCCAACTCACAGTGACCCTAGAAAACAGCAGAGCTTCCTATTGCATTTCCAAGGCGTTAATCTTTAAAGACACAGACTACCCTGTCATTGTTCTGTGGAAAGGCTGATGCATTCGATCTATTGACCTTTCAGTGAGTAGTGATGTGTTTAACCTCTGCGCTACCAGGGCTCCTTTCAGAAATGGCAGGAGCACCCATGCCAGCATGATTGTTGGAGCAGGCGGGGATTAACCAATTAACAAGGGAAACACAGGCTCACTTGTGCTACCTACTAATTTGTAGCAAACAATTCCACATGGGTTTTACCACATCAATGCTATAGTAAAAACAAAACAAAACATGTGAAATAGTTTACTACAGATTAATAAGTAAACAAAAGTAAGCCCAGGTTTACCATGCTTACTGGGCAATCCATCCATTGTCAGGGATTGTAAATGTGAAGATGTTAAGATTTTGTAGGAAGTGCTGTATGGTTGGGAGAGAGATGCCAGCCGTACTTAGAAGCAGATTCCTTGATGTGGTAACAAAATGTGAAATAGTTTCTACAAATCAGTTAGCACAAGTAAGCCTGTGCTGACCTTTATTAAAGGCGAATCCAACAATATGCTGAAGGATTGAGTAAATTTAGGTAAACCGTTAGATTATTTTCTGGCACATGGTAAACTATTGTATTTTTTGTTACTCTTTTTACTGCTAGCAATCAAAGTTGTATAGGAAGTTTAAAGCAGAGAGAACTTGAATAATTAGTACAACAAGGCTTCATGAAGGAGGTAGTCCTTGGGAGACCCCTCAATACATGGATATGTACGAGCTCAGGAGACTGAATCGGGACTGAACTTGAAAGTTCCAAGGACTCGGGGAATGCTGAATTGGGGACTCTTGGAGGTGTCTCTTTGCTTAGAGGAAGGTCTTCTAGGCTGACTGATGACTTGTTCTGCTTATACTTTTTTTTAGTTCCTTTGTTGGGGTTTTATAGTTTTTTGTTCACAAAGTTCCTACTGCTGTAATGAAAAAAAAAAATTGAGGTTACTGTTTCTAAGCATGAGCTATGGAAGGGAACTATAGAATGCCAGGGCAAGGAGTCATGTACTCACTTTATTTGCCTCACAGAAGTTACCTAGACCTTTGAACAGAGGTCTGACTAATTCAAGGAGCCCAGGAGGCACAGTGGCTAAGCACGTGACTGATGGTTCGAATCTACCAGCTGCTCCGCAACAGGAGAACTATATGGGAATCTTCTTCCATGAAGATTGTTGTTATAAAATGCTTTTGAATCAATTCTGACTAGGTTACAACCTTGGAAACTCTACTGGGCAGTTCTCCTTGGTCATAGAGAGTCATTATGTATAGAAATTGACTTGACAGAAATGGGTTTGGGGTAACCAATTCAGAGTGTCACTTGAGAAGATGACTCTAAAGACCAAGTAGGACTGCGTAGCGCCGATGTGCTTTTGGTGCTAAGAAGCTAATTCTAATTCATCTTTTGAAATTACATTTATTTGGTGGCCTACCTACTCTGAAGAAGCTCTGGTAGCATAGTGGTTACGAACTGGGCTGAGAACTTCAGGGTCAGCAGTTCGAAACTACCAGCCATTCCGCAGGAGAAAGATGAGACTTTCAGCTCCCGTAAAGATTTACAGCCTCGGAAACCTTGTACAGGGTCGCTCTGAGTCGGAACCGACTCCGTGGCACATAACAACAACAACAAACCTGCTCTGGGCCAAGGAATGTTCTCAGCACTGGGGATAGGATCCCTGGCTTTACAAAACCCCATTACTGCAGGAAAACTAGGCTGGAAACAATTTAATAAGCACCATTTTGTGAGTTGTACAAGGGAATTTCAAAAAGTACATGAGAAAATTTAATCATAAGATACTGAATTTTCCCCATCGACTTGTTGAAGACAAACAGGGATCAACAAAGTGAATCGTTAGCTGAAACTGTTTTGACCAGTGGCTCTGCTACAAAAAAAAAAAAGATTTAGCAAGAAGTTGTCAAGACATCCACAGTCCCATGAGGGAAGGAAAGTTTATTCTTTGTAACCATGAGGAGCTAGGCTATAAAGTCCAAAAGACAAAGAATACTGCTGTTAGGAAGACCTGAAAAATCTCTTCAACCCGACGTTGGACTCATCGTCCTTTGCATTGGGCAGCAGAACTCAGATCTGTGGGAAAAGGGGATAGAAAAAGGGGGAGATATTCATAGGAGCCTAGATAAGCAAATGAAGTCCCACAACATAGATACAAAGATAAGTCAAAAAGTATTTCTACAAAATCATGGTTTATTAAAGAAAAAATTATTTAAATGTGAAGCAACTGGTTGTTTCCCATCTCCATCGTCTAGGTCTGTACACTTCTGAAGTCAGTATTTCCACCTGTAAACCTTCCCCAAAAGAATCCTGCACTCTTCCATTTACACCATGTAAATATGGCAGTGGTGGCATCCTGGAGCGATCCAAATCATGTTCCTATCAAATATTCTTTAGGTTTGGAGAACAAAAAGAAGTCTTAAAGGCCAAGGGGTTTAGAGTGAATGGGGTAAGGTTTCCCAACAGATTTCTCATAGAACAGTCCTTGCTAACCAGGAAGAGTAAGCAGGTGCATTTTCATGATGAAAAAAAAAAAAAAAAATCCTCAACTTAACTTTTTTGGTCTTTTTTCTCACCATTGAAGTTTTGAGTTTTTGTAAAACTTCTTCATAATGTTGTTGTTGTTGTTGTTGTTAAGTACCGTTGAGTCAGTTCCTACCCATAGTGACCCTGAACAGGATTTCCGAGGCTATAAATCTCTACAGGAGCAGAAAGCCTCATTTTGCTCCCGCGGAGCAGCTGGTAGTTTCAAACTGCCGACCTTGTGGTTCGCATCCTGATTCCTAACCACTATGCTACCAGAGCTCCTTTTCTTCATAATAAGCCCCCGTAATCATCCAGTGTCGTTTGAGAAAATCTTTCAAGATTACTCCTTTAGAATCCCAAGAAACTGTTGCCATAAACTTCTGAGCTGACCTCTGCTTTGAATTCAGCTTTGAAGTCTTCTCAACCTTCCTTAAAACACTTGGGGCAGTGTTCCTATAAACTTGTGGCAAGCTTCAATTATTTAGGTAGATGTTCACTTGAGTTTTGTCAAAAATTAGATATTAGATAATTTTTTCCTATGGCATAAAAAGTATTCTGTTTTTGAAGGAACCCTAATGAGACATATTTAAACGTGTTTTGTTTTGTTTTTCAATAAACTCATGCATGTATGAACTGAAACCCTAGTAGCAATACTTTTTGAATTATCATTATATGTATGATTTCAGGTTATCTAGAAGATATCAAAATGCAAGGCCAGGCAAAAGCCTAAGTATTGTTGCATCAGCTCAGTTTTAACTCTTTGCAACCCTATATACAGTTCCCAGGAGCAATTGGTGGATTTGAACTGTCAACCTTGAGCAGTTCGGTACTTATGCTATAGTGCCACTGGGCCAAAAAGGATAAAGCAAGAGAAAACTTTGGCTTCAAACCATATTTGTCCAGAATTCTTACCTTTTAGATCTTATACTAGAGACTTTTGTCAGTATAATTTTGTATCTGATCAACTAGCATAGCAAATGAAGTAGATTTAGACTTACCTATGAATAATTGACACAAATGTGAAATGTGAAGGAAGAGAATAATAATGGCTAGCAATACAACTGGGTCTTGGAAACGTGTCCTTTAATATTATGTAAACTTGCCTTCATTTAAAAATAATTGAACCGTACCCTACTGACAACAAATTCTTCATCACAAGCACCTTCACCTATTACATGTGCAGATTTTAAATCATTACAAAGGCTTTTAGCCTTTATTTTCACTAAAGTAATCCTAAATGTTGTTGTTGTGTGCTGTTGAGTCAGTTCTGACTCATAGCAAACCTGGATAGGGTTTTCAGTAGCAAGTGGTGGG